AAAAAAAGAACATAAAAAGGATCAAACTTGCTCAGCATTTCTTAAGCTGAAAGAACTGAAGAATAGATTCAAACCTAGAGCTGCAATACCCAAGGATGCTTTGAGAAGGATATTATATGATCCAGGAGGCATTGAAAGAGATGGAAGGAGTATAAAAGTCACTGTACCTAAAGGAACTAGCTGACACAGAAGAAATAACATGTAAGCAAGAGTCTGTGGTGATGAAGGAAAACATTCAATCTGCTCTAAACGAATTGGCAAAACACAAGTCCCCAGGAAGTAATGGCATACAAATTGACTTATTTCAACAAACAGATGCTGTCCTGGATGTGCTCACTAAGTTGTTCCAAGAAATCTGGAGGACAGTCACCTGGCCAACAGACTGGAAGAGACCTCTATTTCTTCCCATTCCAAAGAAAGATGACCCGACAGAATGCGGAAATTATTGAACAATATCATTAATATCACAGGCAAGCAAGATTCTGCTAAAAATTATTCCAAAACCACTAGAACAGCCCATCAACAGAGAATTGCTAGATGTGCAGACTGGGTTTAAAAGAGGCCATGGTTCTATGGATATTATAGCTAATGTTGACTGGATCTTGGCTGAAAGCAGAGAGTACCAGAGGAATGTTTATCTGTATTTCACTGACTATGCAAAGACATTTGACTGTATGGATCACAACAAACTGTGGCTGACTCTGAGAAGAATGGGAATCCTAGAACACTCAATTGTGCTTATGTGAAACCTATACTTGGACTAGGAGGCAGTAGTCAGAAAAGAGCAAGGAAATAACACCTGGTTCAAAGTTGGGAAGGGTGTACATCAGGGATGTGTCCTATCTCCTTAACTTTTCAATCTATATGTGTAACAGAACATCTAAGAGCATCACATGAGCAATGTGGCATCAGGTTTGAAAGAAGACTGCTATTTTATGCAGATGCAGATGGCACAACCTTGCTTGCCAAAACTGAGGAAGACTGAGGCATATTCTGCAGAAGATCAAGGACTGCAGCCTTCAATATGAATTGAAGTGCAACATTAAGAAAACAGTTTCTCACCACTGGGCCAATTGAAAGCATCATGATAGATGGTATAGAGATTGGGACTGTTAACAGCTTAAGTTTGCTTGACTCCACAATCAACACTCTCAGTACCAGTGGTAAGGAAATCAAGAGATGAATTGCATTGGGAAAGTCTGCTCTCAGGGACTTACCCAGAGTACTGAAGAGCAATGATGCCAATCTAGAGACTGAGGTGTGCCTTATCTGAGCCATGATCTTCTCAATTACTTGTTATGCATCAGAGAGCTGGACAATGACTAGGGATAATAGAAGGAGAATTTATACCTTTGAGCTGTGGTGCTGGAGAAGAGAATTGCATATACCATGGATTGTTGGATTGTTAGGAGAACAAATAGGTTCGTCCCGTAGAGGGTGAAACCAGGCTGCTCCTTCAAGGCAAGTATTCTGAAACTCCGTCTGACATACTTTCAGCATGCTATAAGGAGGGACCAGTCCTTAGAGAGGGACATCATGCTTGGAAGGGTTGAAGGACAGTGCAGTAGAGGAAGACCCTTGAGATGGATTGATAGAGTAACTAGGGATAAAAGTGAAAATGGCTCTGGACAGAGCAGGCTTCAGAGCTGTTGTACACAGGGTCACTATGGGCTGCAGGTGACTTTACAGCACACAACAACAATGAAAAAACACAACAAACTCACAACAACAACAACCAAAAATACCCACATGGCACCAACACAAAAACCCCCAAAAGAAACAAAAAACCCAACAAAAAGCCCAATAGCTAACGTGTTCTGGCATCAACGCAATCTGAATGCTCCCAAAAGTGAGTATTTTGAAGTTTCATCTCAAATACATTTTTTTTAACTTCAACAAACATAAATTTATTCTCTCAGAGTTCAGGTGGCTTAAGTCTGCATTCAGGATGTCAGTTCCAGGGGAGTACTTTCTCCTTTTAAACAATCATATGACCAGTGTCCTCCTAGATTTCCATGTGTCTTTGCATTTTTCTCTGTGTCAAAAAGGCTCCCTGTGCAGGAATCTTGGATTCACAGGAGTATCTTTGCTCTTAAATTTAATTTCTTTTTGTTATTGAAGTTCCTCCAAATTCTACTCACCTATTTAATCTCATATGTCTCAAAAGAGACTGACTCAAAATATAACCTAATCTTGTACATGGCATCCTCACCTGCTAATATAAATGCCACTGCCCTGCTATAATACAATTTAGAATTTACAACCCATAAGATAATGACATCAAATCTCAAAAGGCAGGATAATTACACAATGTTGAGAATCATGGCCTAGCCAAGTTGAAACTCTTTTGGGGACACACTGAGTGAATGGATAGCATTCATATTAACAGATCGTCCTGGTATGAATATTTTATCATTGACTTTAGAATTATACTTCAGGAAGTAGTTTGAAATGTTCAAATGGTAAACATGTCTCTGTTTCTCTCCAGTTTACCATTCTAAGTGTGGTAGACTGTATGATGTTTGGTTCAAAATGGCCATTGTTAATGTATTTCAGATGCTGGAAGTTGTGTTACTGGTATGTCAAATACCAGAAGGATCACCCATGGTGGACAGGTTTCAGAAGAGCTCCCTGATTAAGTCAGACTAGGAAGCCAGATATGCTTCAATCAGATTCATCTCAAAGACTTTGGGCAAGTTTTAAGGAGGGACAAATCACGAGAGAAGCACATTATGTTTTATAAAGTAGAGGTTCAGCTCATTGCTGTGGAGTTGGGGCTGACTCATAGCTGACCTTCCAGCAGGTTTTCTGAAGCAGTAAACTGACAGGAGGAGACTGCCCATCTTTCTCCCAAGGCGCCATGTAGGGTGAATTTGAACTGCCAGAGAGAGGCTAGCTTTTAGTCAGCAGTGTGACTCCCAGAGGACTCTCCTTAAGGAGAGGGTCAGAGTACACAGGGTCATCATGGCTTTGAGTTGGCTGGAGAGTCCCTGAAGACAACAACAAAAAATATAGGCATCAAAACACTTACCACAATGAGTGCCACCACCGACAGTGTGTAGTAAATGGAATCTCTTAGCAGGCACCAGGAAGAAAGAGCCACTACCTGAGGAAAAGAGAGAACGACAAAAGAAACAGGATGTTAGAGCATGCCAGCAAGAACCTGAATCCGGCAGGCTCTGTCGCGCATAAATTAAGAACACAACCTGGGGTCTCTGTCTTCTGTTCCTCAACCTAGTCAATCTATCTGTCAGTGTGCACGACAGTCTCTATACAGAGTAGACATGATTTTCTGAGAAGCATATGCCAAGATTAATTGTATTTAAAGGGCATCTTTAAAATGTTAGAGAGCCAAGATGCTAAAGTGCACCTTATCCATTTAATGATATTTTCAATTACTTCAAATACACATAAAGTCTGGAGAATAAACAAGGAAGACCACAGAAGAATTGATGCCTTTGATTTATGGTGCTGGTCAAGGATACTGAAAATACTATGCGCTTCCAGAAGAACAAAGATACTTTTGAAGAAGGGCAGCCAGAATGTGCTTCAGAGGTGAGGATAGTGAGACTTCTCATGTAGTGCGGATCAGTCCCTGGGGAAGGACATCATGCTTGGTAAAGCAGACAATTAGGCTAAAAGAGGAAGACCCTCAATGACACAGGCTGGCACAGTAGCTACAACACTGGGGTCAAACATTATAATTGTGAGGGTGACATAGGACTAGGCCTTGTTCTGTTCTGTTCTGTTGTAGGAATTGAACAGACTGAACAGCCCTAAAAACAACATTTTTATTGTTGAGTGAAAGCTTAGAAAGCAGGTTGTTTTTCCACTCAGCCATCTGTTTTGTAACATTAATTACAACCTATAATCATACTTGCCCCATTTCCTTCTTACTATTCTCATTTCAATCAATCCTTCTTCTATCTTGTCCCTTCTTGGGCTTTACCACTTAGCAAAAGTGCCTCTTTTTACTTATGTGATTGGTTAGTCTTTTTTTATTATTATTATTAAATTTTATTAATTTTAAT